AAGCAGCAGGTTTAAAACAAATACAAGGAAGTTCTTCTTCACACAGTGCACAATCAACCTGTGGAACTCCTTGCCTGAGGAGGTTGTGAAGGCTAGGACTATAACAGCGTTTAAAAGAGAACTGGATAAATTCACGATGGTTAAGTCCATTAATGGCTATTAGCCAGGATGGGTAAGGAATAGTGTCACTAGCCTCTGTTTGTCAGAGGATGGAGATAGATGGCAGGAGAGAGATCACTTGATCATTGCCTGTTAGGTCCACTCCCTCTGGGGCACCTGGTATTGGCCACTGTCGGTAGACAGGATACTGGGCTAGATGGACCTTTTGTCTGACCCAGTACAGCCGTTCTTATGGTTTCCATCATCAGCACCCCCCACTATAAAAACAGTTCTAGCACCTCTCGCTGGATCCCAGGGCGATGGGCCCCGAGGGGGACAGGTTGGCTGGATCCCAGGGCGATGGGCCCTCGGGGGGACAGGTTGGCTTGATCCCAGGGTGATGGGCCCCCGGGGGGACGGACGGGCTGGCTGGATCCCAGGGTGCTGAGCCCCGGCGGGATGGGTTACTTGGGCCCGGGAACGGACTGGCTGGATCCCAGGGCGATGGGCCCCAGGCGGACGAGGCTGGCTGGATCCCAGGGCGATGGGCCCTGGGGGGACGGGCTGGCTGGATCACAAGGCGATGGGCCCCGGCGGGACGGATTACTTGGGCCCGGGGCCGGGCTGGCTGGGCCCTGCCTCTCCTCCCTCTGGGTGCCTGGGCTTCGCTCTGCTCCGCTCCCGCCCCCCTTTCGGGGTGGGGGTGTCACTTACCGGCTGGTCCCCTCCGGCGGCACCGCTGCCCCGGCCGCTCCCTGTTGCCACCGCCCCTGGGTGCCGGTCGTGGCCGGCCCAGGAGTCCCCGGCGGGCCCTCGGCGGGGCGGGCCCGGGATGGGGGCAGCCGGACCCCGGGCCGTGGGGAACAGCGCCCCCGGCTCCTCGCACTCAGCCAGCACCTCCTCCAGTAGCTCCCAGTCCGAGTCCTCCGCCGGGCCGCCCGGCTGCGGCCGCCGCCGGCTACTGCTGGGCAGCTCCGTGGGGGCGGGCGCCTGGCTCCCCTTGGCCTCCTCGCCCTGCCCGCTGGGGGCGCTGCTGCTTCTGCCCCACCTGCCGGGACGATCCGCGCCGGGGCTGCAGCTCCGCTTCCTCCTGCTCCTGCTGCTCCCGCTGCCCATGCTGCCGCTGCTGCCCCCGGGCGCGGGGTGCTGGCGGGGCCTCCTAACGGGGTGACTCGCCTGGCTCGGATTCCACAGGCCAGCTGCTGCCGCTGCCTCGGAGCATCCTGGCTGCTGCTGGGGCAGGAGAGGCTGATCCCGGATCCCCTTTCTCCCCTCCCTGCCCCCCCCCCTTTCCTTAGAAGTGAAGCGACTGACTCCTCCTGGGGAAGGTCCAGTAGTAGCAGCCAGCGAGCACAGGAGCAGCAGCCAGGGAACCTGCCCTCCCAGCTGCACGGAAAGGAAATCGGCTGTTTGGAAGCTGCGAATCCCAAGAATTTGCCCTCGAGAAGGAACCAACTGGGTGTAACCTCGCTGTGAATGTGTGTGTGTGTGTTTGACCATGGATTTTGTGTGTGTGTGTTTGAACATGGATTGTGTGTGTGTGTGTGTGTGTGTGTACATGGAGCCAGTTCAAAAACAGCCTGGAAAAAAATCTTCAAAAAAGGAAATACCACAAAGCAGTGCTCACAACTTCAATCTGCTGTTGGGTCTAGTCGGTGGAAACTATGACAAATAAACATGGATATTTTTATTTTTTTATTTTCGTGTGTGTGTGTGTGTGTGAGAGAGAGAGAGAGAGAGAGCCTGGACTGTAAAGTGAAAGGAGAGAAGAACTCAAAGCAAAAACTTTAGATTCAAACTTCAGTTTAGTCCAGAGAAATACAGCCTTTTCCTCTTCACTCTTCCCCCAGCACAATGTTTTCATATTCTCTCATGCTTTCCAATTGAGTTCCTTTACGGGCAGGACAAAATCAAGCTATTTATACAACATATTTGGACTCTTGAACATAACCAGGGCACTGGTCGGATTAATTGCAGAATAATTATGGATTTTGGACTGTAGGAAAGGACTGTGCTCTTTCAAAATTGCCCTTTCTAAAATGTGATTCAGATAGTTACCAAAAAGCCAAACAGGCTGAGAAAATAAGATCACACAGTAACTCATAAAAAGAATGTAGTATAAATTACAAATCAAAATATGCATTGATCCTTGGTTCACATTTCTCAAGGGGACAATAAATTGTTTCATATTATCTTCTTTTTTAATATGTGCTGTGTTTCACACCCCAGATGCATGCGATCTAGCCCAAAACTCATACTTTGGCTTCATATGGCTGTTATAGATCTCCAGATGGATAGTGTACAGGCTAGTCATACAAATTCTTCTTAAGACTGATCTGCCCTAGCAAATTGACCATTAAAAAAAATGGCTTTCAGTAGCAGCTCCTCTGAACTGGTATAAAAAATGGCTTACACTACACAAAACAATGTTTAATCCTGTTACAACCTGGCCCCATCCTCACTTTTGGATGGACATAATAAACAGACTCAAAGCCTGCCCCACATGCTTCTAAGCCCCTCTGAGTCTGGGTAGTGACTGGTATGGTTCCCATTATGGGTCTGTCAGGCATACTCCCAGGAGCACACCCCAAGTTTGGCACCCTTTAAGAGCAGTGGGATCCCACAGTTCAGCTACCTCTATCCTCCAGGCCAATGACCCAGCTCTCCTGAAGCCCCAATTATTTAGATATGTTCCCTCCCAGTGATCACCTGGCTCTGGGAACTGATTTCTAGTTAAACCCTTCAGGGCCAACATGGCAGGAAAGCAAGGGAACACAGGCTTAGCAAAGGAATTTCTTAACCACAGACACTTTACTCTTAGGCTATGTCTACACTACAGACCTTACAGTGGCAGAGCTGAACCGCTGCAGCTGCACCACTGTAAATTCTCCCATGCAGCTGCTCTGTGGTGGTGGGAGAGAGTTTTCATGTCGGCATAATTAAACCACCCCAGTGAGCGGTGGTCACTATGTCAGCAGGAGAGTGTCTCTCACCGATATAGCACTGTCCACACCTGCACTTCTGTTGGTGAAACTTATGTTGGTCAGAGGTATGTTTTTTTCACACACCCCTGACTGAAAAAAGTTTTACCGACAAAAGTGCTAGTGTAGACATAGCCTTAATAAAACACATGAGAGAGTTACAGAATCTTTGAAAAACAACAAAATCCAGAACTCACTCTGCTTAAACTGTTCTGACCCCGCTGTGAGGCCTGGGTTGGGTCAGTGTCTTTAGTCTGGGCAGCCCTTCCTACTTCTCTCTCCTTAGTCTGATCTTCTTGCATGTGGTAATAGTTTGATCCCTTGCTCAGAGATGCACGCACTTCTTAAAACACTGTCCCTTTTTTGCCCATGTGCTTCAGTGAGAGGAATTTCAGGCTCCAGCCCTGCTTCCCTGCCAATTGGCTTCTGTGTAGAGAGTCATTCAAAGTCAGTGGTCTACCAGGAGAAAACTCACTGCTTCAGTAGTGAACAGCCATTCACTGTTGATAGCTCGCTCATTGTTATCTCTGAGGTGTCCCACAACCCTGCGTGATCAGAACAGTGTCTGGAATAGACTGACCTTGTCAGGATCAGCCTAGTTTTCAACTCAAACTGGATGTCTTAATCTAACTTGGAGATTACAATAAGTGTAACCTTCACTCTGTCCTTCAATCAAAAATGGCATTCAAAAACCAAAGTGGAGTTCACAATTTGGCCCAGACACATCAGCAATCTGTCACAAATCCCATTTAAGAAATCTGATAGTAGAACTTTCAGGAAAACTGTTGTCCTGAAACAGCTTTACCCTGAGCAAAATCCTATTATCAGAAACCAGTAAGTAACATTAATTATTAAAAGAAAAAAATTCCATGTTATTATTATTATTCCAGTACCACCTACCAGCCCCAATCAGGCTTGGAGATCCATTGTTTTGGGCAGTTTATAACCACAGAATAAAAGCTGATCTCTGCCCTGAAGAGTTACAGTCTAATTAGCAGGGCCGGCTCCAGGCACCAGGCACCCAAGCACATGCTTGGGGCAGCACCTGGTAAGGGG